ACAGCATCCACGGAAGCCCTAGAGAGAGAGAGAGAGAGAGATATGGACATATATAGATGCATATATGTTTCCAAAAGTTCACAGGGAAATTTCATTACCTTTTAATTCCACTTTCCATTCATTTCTGAGGCCCTCTAATTATACATGTGTATAGATAATAATGTACATACACATACAGCATATATTTCATATATTCATATGTAATATATACTTTCTCACTCCCTGCCACCAAGTTGATGTGGACTCATAGTGGCCCTCTATGACAGGGTAGAATTGGTCCTGTGGGTTTCTGACACTGTAACTCCTATGGATGTAGAAGGTCTTTTCTTTCTTCCGCAGAGAGGCTGGTGTGTTTGAACTGTAGACTTGCAAAGTAGCAGCCCAATGTATAACCTTCATGCCGCCGGTATATATAAAATTCTTACAACTTTGTGAGGTAGAGAGTTATTCCCTTCTCCCCACTTCTAGAAGAGAAAATGGAGATTCGGAGAGGCTAAATCATTTGCTCCGCATCACACAGCTAATAAAAGCAGACTTGAAACACGAAGTCAGTCTACTGAATTGCACAGTCAGGGCTAGTTACATTATTCTTGACCACCTCCTCAATATGTTTCAGTGGAGCCATATTCTGTGTGTCTATACCTATAATGGCTTTTTCAGCATGCTGAAGGCCAAGTCGGAGGTTATGGGGGCATAGACCACCTAGGCCTCATGCACAGCAAGCAGGCAGCTACAAAAAGATGCAGTGCATACAAACGGCTGCTTGAAACCCAGCCATCTCTATGGCTTACGGCACAACTGATGGTATCCAAGGAGAGCCACATCCATTTAGCAACAGGCAGTGGTGAACAGGTGCTCTCATCCAGCTGGCATGCAGAGAGATGGTCAAACTGTCCACTCAGAAAAGTAGTGGGGTTCAGAGCACAGGCAGCTCCCCTGTAGCACACAGGATGCCCTGCTCTGGTTGTTTGGACCTTTGCCTAGTTTAGAGAGCTTTTGGTGACTCTGGAGAAGGTCCGGACAAGGGATGGTTTGTGGCTGCAGCCCTGGGGAGCTGAGCAGCTCAGGCTACAGCCCTGAGAGGGCAGACATGGCTCAGCAGCCTGGGCTCAGTCAGAGGGAGGGCTTGGACCATTCCTGCACTCCCAGTCCCTCACCACCCCCAGCCCTCACAGCTGCCACAGAGCTGACAATAAAAAACGATGCCCCAGGCTGTCCTGTTTTTATTATTAGTTATATGGCATCATAAATGTACATAGAGATGTTCAGTAAATGAAATTGTGGCAAACACCAAACAGGGCCACTGCCCCAAAGATCTTTTGGCCTTAGGGCAACGGCACAACAATATATAAGAAACAAAGGGAGCAGAGAGCCAGCTGAGGTGAGGTTTTAGTACTGTTTGGCCTGTCAGCGGGGGAGGAACAGGCAGCCAGGCAGGCTAAGGAAGAGGAGCAGCAGGCAATGCACAGTGGCCACAAAGGGCCTTTGAGGCCAGCAGCTTAGTCTCCCAAGAATCTTTGGATACCAGGGGATGGTATCCAAAAGTCAAGAGACTCAAGTTCTCCTGTTATTTCGTAAGATGAACACAGGCAGGGAGGTAAACTGATGTGCTTTGGGTCCTGACCAATCAGACTTTGTTAGGAGGGGCATTTACTGGCTCGTCCTCCTTGCACGTGCCCTTTGTGTTCCCCACTTTTCGACTGCACACAGACTCCTCCTGGCAGAGGCGGTGTGTAAATATAGGACAACAACGGGGACCGTAGGAGGTTAAATCCTCAGAAATTGCTGAGCAGTAAAATGAAGGGACATAAATTACAGGAAATGCTGCCCTTCGATGAATACATTATGCATAATCATGAAACTTTTAAAAGGCAACAGTAACCAAAGAGCCAAAGAGGGTCTGAAAGGAGAAAAACCAAGCTAAGAACTAGGACAATCCAAAGTCAAAGCTGCTCTGTCATTGACCTGGCGGAGTCAGGGTATGTGGCATGGAGCTGAGGAGGAAAGGCACCTCCTGACCCACTTGACCTTGGTCAAACAACGTAATCTCCACGAGTCTCCATTTCCTACCTCTACAATAGCTTTCCTAAGATCCACTTCACGGAATCATTCAGAGAATTTGAAGGAACAGGCAGGTAAAACAACTCGTTTGGTTTCTCCTCACAGAGGGATGCTTCAAATAGATGTTAACAAGGAAAGAAAAGCCGTTCCCTCTAAGAGCAGTGAAACAATACAGGGGGTGGAGGTACATCGTGGCCAGAGAGATGGATAGGCATGCTTTTGTGTGGCATTAAGTAGTTAGGCAAGATTTTGATAAAGTGATGGGAAGCATTTGACTCAGGTCTGGGGCCAGGAAAGTGTTCAGGGTCTGGAAGGCAGGGGGAAGAGAGGGGAATAAGTCTGATGAGAGTCTGACCCCAATTCTTGAGAGTCTTATCAGGCTAAGCCATCTAGCCATTGCTCTGTGTGCATTAGGGAGATATCAGGGGTATCAAACAGGGGTGACAACAATAAGAAGGCATTTCAGGAAGATGACCGAGACAGTGCAGAAAAGATATTGGGGTGGGCAGGGAGAAACCCTAAAGTAGAGAGGCTGATTTTCAAGGGAACTTTTAAAAGGTCCCTAGTATGGCAGAGGCAACAGTAATAGAAACGGGATGAGAGACCAATGTGGGCCACAGAGGAAGCTATTCTGGCGGAGGTTGGCTATTGATTGGGTATGGGATGGAAAACAAAGAGAAGAGGCTTTTGAGGTCTCGAGTGTAGGAGACTCCGGACATTGGTGACATCATTAACAAAGTAAAAAAGGGGAATAAAGGGGTGCATGTGTGAATTGGAAATGCAGGACGTTTGGGCTACTGAAGAGACCACAGGACATGCTTGAGGCTGAACTAACCACCCAGATTTGAACACCACTGATATTGTAGTGCCCCTTGAACCCTAATGGTGACAGGATCTACAATGGGAGGGACCGTAGGCTGAAATGCAAGATGCAGGATGCAGGAAATGAGGAAAGAGGAGTGGACACGGACAAAATGCCAGAAAATGTGTCTGCTTTGGGGCAAGAAGAGGAGACAGCAAAGAAGCTGAAGACAGAGCCCAAGAAGGGGGAGCAATGGGAATTAGGAGCTGTCCAAGTCATCAACAGCCTCAACAGCATCCACGGAAGCCCTCTGGTGGGTAAAAGGTGATGGAATGCTATAAGACTGGATGACATTGGCAACTGGAATTGACTTCCTGTTTTCTTCCAAAACGCTTTTCAAGAGGTTTACCTGCTCACAACACATTTCAAACAATACAATGGGAATCTGCATTTGAAACGACAACTCAAAAGTCAAGTAGAGAGAGGCAGAAAGACTAACTATTCCTCTGATCATGGCATTTAGCAATGAGCTTCTTGATAGTGAGGAGGTTAGAGAACTTGGTGGGTGAGACTCAACTTTGGAAGAGTGACTCATGACGACTCCTCCTGAGAGTGGCTTTTGTGGTGTGGGAGAAAACAAAGGGTACTGTTGGATCTGGAAAAGGATAATACATTGTGGTGACAAAGATAGAAAGAGGGCAAATGCACAGATGGGAGCTGATACAAAATACAAACCCTTGTTTTTTTTTTGCATGCTTTTTTCTGCAGACATCATCGAATGTGCCACCAGAAACAAGGAGGTCAGGGTGAGAAAATGTTCCATAGACGATGGTCTCTTCTGCCTTGGACACAGGTCACATTTCTTGGTTCAATTCTTGGTTCAATTCAGTGTGTCCCACAGACATTCAATTCAAGTATTTTTCTCATCTCCTATCCATGAACATCGTGTACACAAAGGTTTCCCAGCCCCATGGAAGATGAACCGCGCAGTGGGGTGTGGTCCATGATGCATCCCTGGGAGATGTCTTGAAGACAGAGAACCCCAGCCGCTGTAACGTGGAAGAAAGTGGACTGTCTGGGAGCTCTCAGGGGAAGGGCAATATTGAGCGCTTCTCCACATCTAGGGAGTGGAAACTCCCCCCCAAGGCCTGAAGCTTGCCTCCCTTCCTATTACTCTGATTTTTGGTTTAGAAGCAAGAGGCCTAGGGAGATGGGAGTGAATTCAGGAACACACACTCTCTAGACTTGAGCTCCAATTCCCCATTGCTCAAAGCTTTAACTGTTTTGGCAGTTTCCAACCTTTTAAGAACCACAGAAGACTTTCAACCTTTCTTCTGCCACCATGTAACCCCCAGATAACAAGACCTAAAAGCATTGCCATTGTTCCTGCCTTCTTTAATAAAATAAAATGGGAAAAATCATACAATAAAATAACAAGTGAAGTTGTTCATGTTTAATGAATTGACAATAACCATTTATTAGAATATTGGAAAGCTTTTACTATCATTTTATTGGATACTTTTGCTTAAATATTTGCTACTTGAGAACATAGTTTAGCATGGAAACCAAATGGTGAGTGCTACTCTTTTCTTTCAACTAAAGTCATTGATTATTTCATAGAAGGAGAAAGTTTATAAGAAACAGGGACAACAATTTTTAGGGTATCTTCTAAGTGTTAGACATATTTGTTTATTAACAGTCATGGTATTTAATCCACCAATTATCCTTTATGGTAGCCTTATTATCATTATTTTATTTATTAGCTCTTAAAGACTAAGTGGCCTGCTTAAATCAATCTGGATTAGAGTCCGGAATTGAGTCCAGGAACAAATGACTTGGGAATCTTTTTTTTTTTTCCTCTATGCCACCTGGTCTCCCATGCCAAAATACAATTAGCAAAGGATGGGACAATAAATTAGGATTTGTCTCTCTATCGCTGGTTCATGATGTGGCTCTGAGGACCTGCTAGCATGTGCACCTCTTAAATAGAGCGTATATGTGTATCACACCAGGGTATTTTTGTCATCTGAAAGATATTATGCAGAACAAGGTTTCGGCATGCTCTACACTGTTCTATGTGTAGACTTGGAACTGATGGATGAAGTTCAAGCCGACATATTTTAGCTCAGCACAAGAAAGCACTTCCTGACACAGTAGTCCTTCGAATGTGAAGATGTGAGTGAGAACCCACAGGTAAGGATGTAAGACAAAGGGAACAATCCAAAGAGTCACTGCCTTCCAGTCTATTCCTGTTCACAGTGACCCTACAGGACAGAGCTGAACTGCACCTGTGGGTTTCCGAAGCTGTAAGCTTCATGGGAGCAGAATGCGTCCTCTTTCTTCCATAGATTGGCTGGTGGATTTGAACTACTGACCCGGCGGTTATCACCCACGATGGCACCATGGCTCAATTGATAGTATGGTATTATTCTATTATCCAGATAAGGAAACTGAGCTCTTTTTTTTTTGTTGTTCCAAATGCTAGATTTAATCAATGTTGTAAAACAGTGGGTTAACTCGGAGATCTAGTGTCTTTCAGATACATTGTTATAGACAACGAACATGTGTTTTACATTATTAGATTTCTACCCACTATTTCCTTTTTTTTAAATCATTTTATTAGGGCCTCATACAACTCTTATCACAATCCATACACACATCAATTGTGTAAAGCGCATTTGTACATTCATTGCCCTCATCATTCTCAAAACACTTCCTCTCCACTTAAGCCCCCAGCATTAGGTCCTCATTTTCCCCTCCCTCCCCGCACCCCTCTCCCTCATGAGCCCTTGATAATTTATAAATTGTTATTTTGTCATATCTTGCCCTGTCCAACGTCTCCCTTCACTCACTTTTCGGTTGTCCATCCCCCAGGGAGGAGGTCACATATAGTTCCTTGTAATCGGTTCCCTCTTTCCAACCCACTCTTCCTCTACCCTCCCAGTATCGACACTCACACCACTGGTCCGGTAAGGATCATTCGCCCTGGATTCCCTGTATTTCCATTTCCTATCTGCACCAGTGCACATCCTCTGGTCTAGCCAGACTTGCAAGGCAGAATTCATATCATGATGGTGGGAGCGAGGAGGAAGCATTTAGGAACTAGAGGAAAGTTGTATTTTTCATCGTTGCTATATCACACCCTGACTGGCTCATCTCCTCCCTGAGACCCCTCTGCAAGGGGATCTCCAGTGGCCTACTCATGGGCTTTGGGTGTCTACTCCGCACTTCCCCCCATCATTCACTATGGTAAGATTTTTTGTTCTGATGATGCCTTATAACTGATCCCTTCAACACCTCGTGATTGCATAGGCTGGTTTGCTTCTTCCATGTGGGCTTTGTTGCTTCTGAGCTTGATGGCCTCTTGATTACCTTCAAGCCTTTAAGACCCCAGAAGCTATACTTTTTGATAGCCGGGCACCATCAGCTTTCTTCGCCACATTTGCTTATGCACCCATTTGTCTTCAGTGATCCGTTCAACACCTCGTGATCACACAGGCTGATATGTTGTTCCATGTGGGCTTTGTTGGAAACTGAGCTCTTAAGCAACTTGTGTGATTAAGTCCCTTGTCTATGATGGAACAAGCCAAGTGTTCCCCCATTTGGTCTCAATGCTCCTTGAAGGGAGAGAAAGTAGGGCCTGGGAGCTGGGAAGAGAAACTGTAATCTATCAGCCTTTCTTCTATCATCCGATGTCTGGGTTCTAATAAATCAATATAAATAAGAAAGCATAGGCTGGAACAAAAGGATACACAGGAAAGGTAATATTCCCACACTTTCAAAATCGCGCTTTCACTGTGAAATCACATGGCGGAACTTTGAACAATCAACATCGGCTGAAATCATCCATCTCGCTGTTCCCTCATGACCATTCCATGATCTAGTTACTCATTCAACAAGCATAAGTACCCTCATGCCAAAAATGAAAGTCAGCCCTACCGATACAGTGATGAGTAAGGCATCGTTTCTGCCCTCCAAGACTTCTCAGTTTATACAGAGGGAAGCTAGAAGACTTCAGACCGTGATCCAATAGGCTAAGAGAAGGAAAGTGTGGGTGTGGAGAAGGGAGTATGAAATAGTTTTTAAGTGAGTGGGTAAGGTCAGAAAGGCATCAGGAAATCCACAAGCTGAAGAGCAGGTTTTGAAAAGGATTGCATTTCAGCAGAAGTCAAAAAGGACAATCTGAGCCATGAAAAGCACAGAGTATTCTGGGAAGCAGAGACGAAAGGATACAGGGATAAGTTACCCAGGAGGTAAGGCCGGGAAGTTACTCTGGGGCTGAAATGTGAGCCACCTTGAATATTCTGGTCTCTGGACTTGATTTAGAGACAGTGAGCTGATTTACAAAAGATATCTAATAGGTGGAGAGATTTCTAAGCTATTTAACACCATGAAGATGAAAGGTGTGAAAAGAGGTTCTGTGTAGAGCCTACAGTCCCGAAGACTGGCTACTAACTTGGGCTTGGGAGTCAGCCAGGTCCCACTCTGATCCTGACCCCCAGCAGCCTCTGTGACTCTGGGGGGATGATTTCTCTCTGCGCCTCAGTTTCCTTCTCTGGGAAATGGAGAAGAGACCACCTCCTGGTTAGTTTGTTGGGAGGACCAGATGAAATACTGTTGCGCAAGGGTAAGTAAAAAGTAGAGCTATTAGGGTTCTGGGTCATACAGGTATGGATTTATTCCAAGCAAAACATGTTTAAACAAGTTTCTGAGATCAGTGGTTTGGTTGCTGCAGGCAAGTTCTCTCCGTATCTCACTTGTCTTCCTCTTGGTAGGAAGCCTTCAAAAGGCCAAAAACCAAGATCCAAACAAAGAGTGGTTGTCCATGGGCTCTGTTTTGGCAGTTCAACTCAAGGGAGAGAGGTCAGTTCAGAATGTTATGCAGCTGTATTTTGGGATTTCCGAGGGGTAATCTCAGGAGCCCTGGTAGTGTATTGGTTACTCATTGGGTTGCTACCCACAGGGTCAGCAGTTTAAAACCACCAGCTGCTCCGAGGAAGACAAGGCTTTGTACTTCTGTAAAGAGCTAAATCTCAGAAACCCATAGGGGCTGGGTCTCTATAAGTCATAATCAACTTGATAGCGATCAGCTTTAAGAGGTAATCTTGAGTTTCTTGAAGGATTCCGGATGATCGCTTGGCTTATATTGAAGAAATGTTCCTAAAATTACAAACTTCCCTGGTGAGAAAAAGACGAGGCAAGTTGTGCAACTCGTTCAGTGAGTGTAGCAAGGGCTATTCTATAAGCATTTCATTGGAAAATCTCACCCCATTCAGCCTACAGTCCCAAGCCTGCTCCTTTGGATTTCTTTTTGTTCTCAAATTTTAAAGTACATTTAAAAGGTACAAGATTTGGGTCCCTTAGGGATGCCCAAACTGCCAGTTTGATGTGGTGCCCACGGCATCCTTCAGGGGACAGTCAGAACAATAGACACACTGCCTTTACAAGTGTATAGACCTACGTGGAGACTAGTTTTAGAAGTAAAAGCCTCCCATTGGGATATTTTTTGCTTAATTAAGGTTTCTATGATTATATAGCAATACAGTGAACCCTCGCCACTTTGCGCTTCGACTTCCGCGGCTTCACTCTATCGTGGTTTTTGCGTAACAGCACATGCTCTGTCATTACTGCCACTGATTAGCTCATACTGTACACGCTTCTGTCTGCATCGCTACGTATCGGAGCTACGTATCAGATGCATTTTTGCTTTTGTACAGTGTACTGTAATTGTTTGCGATTTTTAAGAAATTTTATCTAAGCCCTATGATGGCTCCTAAACGAGCTGCTTCTCCTAAGCCTTCTGACAATAAAAATAAGCGCCAGAGGAAGATGCTCACCATCCAGGAAAAGGTAAAACTTTTGGATATGATCAAAGATGGCAAGAAAATCATGGAGGTTGCACGCCATTTCGACTTGAATAAGGAATCCTACTTCGCGGAATTTCATTTATCACGGTAGGGTCTAGAACCGATTAACCGAGATAAACGAGGATTCACTGTACTTTTAAAAATTACCCCTTATATACAGTTCTTAGCAGATAGGCAGCTTCAGATGAATGGTTGCTTCCGTGGTAGTGCCCATCTAGTCAGCCTGCACCCACAGAGACGTCACGTATAACAGACTGAAACACTGCCTGGCCCCGTACCTTGCTCAGGATTGATACTATGTTTGAACCTCTTGTTTCAGCAGTTCGCCTAAATGGAGGCAGAAACAAAATTAGCGACGGCCTGCTGAATCACTGTGTGCCACCCGTTCACTAGCTTCTCTAGAAAATTCTGTTTTTAGGTCTGGGTTCACAATCTTCCCCATTCAAGAGCTTAATAGGAAGGAAAAACATCATCGTCATTGATGCTTGTGAGCCCTCTTGACATGGTGTGCATGAAGACAATGCTGTCTCCCCTGTGATGGTGCTC